AGCCCCATGACGATTGATTTCCATCAATTACCACCCTCTGGGTCTGACCACAGAGCCAATTTCCCAGCCAGCGGATCATGGTGGACCCAAGCCCACATTGGCCAGTTTTGCCAAGAGGCGATCATGGGACACCAGATCGAAGGCTTTTTTGAAGTCAAGATATACGACATCAATCTCTTCTCCCTTGTCCAGGTGATAGGTCACCTGGTCAGAGAAGGAAATGAGATTAGAAGTTGTTAGAGAGTAGGTTTAGATTAGACATTAGAAGGCACTAGGCCTGCGCGAGTCGACAGTGATCCAATCCAGCTTCAGATCCGGCCGCTTCAGATGGCTGCGATCTGATTTGGAGCTCTGGACCGGGTTTCCGCCTCGATCCGGCTGAAGCGGCTCCGAAGTATATAGGGTATAATGGGGAATCAATAAAATATCTATAACTTTGTTATTTTTTGTCCAATTTGGATGAAACTTGCAGGGATTGTAGCCTCTGCTGATACCATACACAACTGCTGCAGATTCCTGAGCCTGACGAAGGGTTTTTGAACCCGAAAGCTTGCTTAATAACTATTCTCCAACCATTTGGGTTGGTCTAATAAAAGATATCAAATTCACCCAAGGAACCTTGTCTGCCTATATCCTTAGACTAACACGGCTACAACCTAAACCCCTGCAATGACAGCCTATCATTTTTCTAAACAGCGCGTTCTCATTCTGTTACCGTATGCCTATACAATGTAATCCTCCCCCAACAGGAATATTGTCTCAAGCACAATAAACTAGCCATGCCAGAAGGGTGATGCCATAAATTATACATACGCAGTCCCACAGTATCATGTTTGCCATTGTCGTTTCTGTTTGGTTGCACTAATGGAGCAAATGAAACAGCAAGAATGTTTTTACTTTCCCAAGTGTTCTGTCCAGTTCTCAGAATTTGTGTTAGCTGCAAGAGAACGAGAGAAACAGAAAATAAAATTCAGCAGTTAATAAAAGGTCTGGGTTACATTTGCAATTCTTCAGTTTGAGGAAGTTTAATTTAGCATTAGCATTTAAAATTGCTTCAAAGTAATTTAGAATGCCCATTCTCTTCCCAGATCAGATAAAATTTTGTAGCGCATACAAAATTCAGACTTTTCCCATTTTGTTTCAAAGGCTTTTAATTTAGCTCTTAAAAGATAAATAAGGACTTGTACATGCATTTAAAACTTTATTGACAATGCTCTTTTGATAATATTCCCCACTAATTCCAAACTAATATTTAGTATTACTGTAACCTGCATAGTGGAAAAAAGCACATTAACTTTTATAAAAAGTTAGCAGTTTTATCTGTTTTTGTATGATCTTGTATTGAAAATCCTGGACTGCCCAGTGTCTAAATACCACAGTAGCCAGCACACTTAGAATAAGATGGATATTCACTTAAAAGGTACTACATTAATGTATAGTACTTACTCTTCTCCCAGACTACTGGCAAATATCCCCAATATTATTATTTGAAGTAATAAGCAGGGCTCTCTGGCAGATCAAGGGAAAAGCTAGTAAGTCCAGGCTTGTGCTCTTTTTCATTTTCTTCTGTACTTTGTGTTACAATGAGCAAAGCAGAGCACTTGTATTGTTTGTTAATCCTAGTCTATTTTCTCTTGATTCGGTTCATATATTCCATGAAAAATGTATATGAAAATAAACATCCAGTGAATACAACTGACATATGACTAACATTTGTTAAGCACCCACTTGTACTAATGGTAAAAGGTTGTCTACAATAAGAAACTATATAGTAAAAATTCAACAACTTTTCGTCATTGACAAAGTAACCTGCATATCTGACCATCAGCGTTTTAACAATCAGGCTTCGGAGGGGCATAGATGTTGGTAAATTGTTAAATCTGTGTTCCTCAGTTCCCCCATCAGTAAACACTCACCTTTGTAAAGCCTTTTGCAATCTATGGATGAAAGTAACAGAAGTGCTAAGTACTATTAATAATACACTCGTCTAAAAATGCATTACCTGTTATTGTTACAAGTGGCATCTAAAACAAGTAAAAGCATGGTTTAACTTTTTCCCCTGTAGTCACTTGTCCCTGTTAATGCTGAGTTTCCTTTCACACAATCAATGCAGATTATTATTTTTTAAAAGGGTATTGTTAAGAAAAACAAAAATCAACACCACCACAGGATACAAGAAGTCTGTAATTTTTTAGTAAAAAGTCATAGAAGTTAATGTAAAAAACAAAAAAGCTACAAGGAAACTCTACAGCAGGGTGTTTGGGTAAAGTCTTAGCACCACTGAAATTCATGGCAAAATCCCTATGGTTTTGCCATGGACTTCAAGGGGAACAATATCTCAGTATTTTAATCAATTAAATTTAAATTAGATCATGTCCCTTCTTCAACTAACACTCATGTTAGCCATGTCTCTTGCAGGTAACATTAGCTGCACATAAAAAGTGAAATATTAAAATGTAGAATCATTTAAAAAAAGAAAAGAAGAATAAAAAAAGAAAAGAATGTGTAAAAGATTCAAATAATCAGCATATCGCTGTACTTGAGAAGATGATGATGCTTTTACAGTACTTAATTTAAGTTGTTTGATTTCATAGCAAAACACAGAAAGGGGAAATTGTCACTGAATCACCTGATCTTCTATAGGCATAACTAGAATGCCTCCAACTTTCAGTAAAATTTTCATGTAGTTTTCATGGTCTTTCTGGACTCCAGCTCCACAATAAATCCGGTCATACTGATGACTGTCTGATGCTATTTCCAGACAATTACCAACCACAAAGGCAGGTTCACAGAACTCAAACCTATGGGAAAGGAAAAGAAAGAGGGCAAACAGTTATTTAGTAGAAGGCTTCTTTTATGAAAAGCAAGTTTCAAACTTTTCCTCATTTGTAATTAGAGTTATTAGTGATTTGCATGAAGACACAAGACCTACGAAAGAAATGCAGGCAAAAATGAAACAAACATTGGGCTATTATCTAAGCCTTTTTCTGTGGTAGACACCAGACTACTTTAACAGGAACTCAGGAATTCCAGTGCCCATTCATTTGTAGTTTCACTGTGTTTCCAAAGTGCAAAACAAGGGCCAGACTTCCCAAGCTACATTTGAATGGCACCCCTAAGCTGCTCAGTGTCTCCTCTGTGCACTATTTGGAGTAGAGCAATTAGAGAAAGAGCACTCTTGCATATCTTCCAAAACAAGTCCCTGCAGGCCTCAGCTCTGACAGGGCTCCCCAGAGAGAAGTTCAAAACGTGGTCCAACACATGTTACTTTTACCTTCCTCTGCCACTGCAAGTCAACTGTACAGGACAAGTTTACGCAACTGCCATATCATTCTTTATAATCAGCCAA